ATTTACGTTTCTGTAGTACCTTTTATAGCTTGAGGCTGTCCAAAGTGCTTTTTAGCCAGTAAAATTCTTTTGAAGTTTAGTGTTGCACTGTAGGAAAAGTATTTCAACAACAGATAAAATGATATATTTTACCAGGTCAGAGTTCGATCAAAATCTTCGCTATTGAGCGTAGAAATAATGTCCCAGAAAAGTTGTAAATTAGGAAATGTGAGGATGGGAAAGGACTCAAGAAAATAATTACAGTCATCTGGCAAGCTTTACTGAGTCCATTGCGAATACATTCTGTGCTGCTGCTGCTCTAAGTACTTTTGTTTTAATATAGAGGAGGTGGTTCACTCTTACCTGCCTGCTGAAATAGCCTAGTGATCACTTGTAATGGTTGTTGGATTGTCTGGTTTAATTTCTTTTGTGAGACAGACCACGTGGCATTGACCTAGGCACCAGAAACAAAACACATGCCTATATTCTCTGCAACATCCTCCATACTAACATGTAGGGGTTAGCACCAAAATTGAGAAAGCTGTTTCGCACATTAGTCAAGTAACAGTCTATGTATATGACTGTATCCAGGACATTGCCAAATATGTTTAGTCTCAGCAGTAGGACAGGCCCAGCAGAAATGTGGCACAGTGGCATACACTTGGGAGGGAGTTGCCCTGGGGGTCCTCGACATTAACTGCAGATCTCATGAAGTCTTATGGCATCAGGTCAAACAAGGGAAAGGAAATATCCTGCTGATTACAATGACATGTGCTCCAGATCTTGCTCCACCCTTATCCAATCTGTTCCAGTGCAGCTATAACACTGGTATCTACTTGACAATATGGAAAATTACCCAGGTTTGTCTTGTACACCAAAAGAAAGGACAAATTAAAACCGGCCAATCATTGCCTCTTCAGTCTATGCTCATTCATCAGTAAGGTGATGGAAGGTATCATCAGCAATGTCATCCAGCAACACTTGCTCAGCAATAACCTGTTCACTGATGCCCAGTATGGTTTCCACCAGAACCATTCCCTTCTAACCTCATTACAGTCTTAGTTCAAACTTCGATAAAAGAGCTGAATTCAAGAGGTTAGATGAGTGTCTGCCTTCGACTGCAAGGCCGCATTTGACTGAGTTTGGTATCGAGGAGCCCTACTGGAGTCGATGGGAATCGGGGAAAACACTTGACTGGTTAAAGTCAAAACTGGCAGAAAGGAAGATGGTTGTGGTGTTGGACGTCATTCATTTCGGTTCTAGAACATCTGCGTAGGTATTTTTTAAGGTAGTGTCCTAAGCCCAACAATCATCGTCAATGATGTACCATTTAACATAAGGTCAAAGATGGAGGTGTCCACTGATGACTACAAAAGTTCAATACCATTCACAACTCCTCATACCAAAGCAGTGTATGTCCAATACAACAAAACCTGGACAGTATTCAGCTGTGGGTTGACGAGTGGCAAGGATCATTCCACCACACACATTCTAGGCAATGACGATCTCCAACAAGAGAGGATCTAAACACTGTTCCTTCATATTGATCAGCCTTACCATTACTGATTTCTCCACTGTCAACATCCCGGGGGTTTCCATTGACCAGAAACTCAACTGGACAAGCCATACAAGTACAGTGGCTGCAAGAACATTTTGGAGGCTAAGAATCCTGCAGCAAGTAACTTGCCTCCTGGTTCGCTAAAGTACCACTTACAAGGCACAAGACAGGAGTGTGATGGAATACTCCCCACTTGCCTAGATGAGTACAGCTCCAACAATACTTAAGAAACTTGACACCATCCAGAACAAAACAGTCACTTCATTGACACCACCTCCACCAATGACACTGAGTAGCAGCAGTGTGAACCATCTACAGGATGTACTGCAGAAATTCACCAAGGCCCTTTAGACAGCACCTTTCAGATCCTTGACCGCTTCCATTTTAAAGGACAGCACTGATTGCAGCGGTTCAAGAAGACAGTTCACCAACACTTTTTTGAGGGCAGCTAGGGATGGGAAATAAGTGCTGGCCCAGCCAGTGACACCCTCATACTATGAATGATTCTGTTTTAAAAACGGAGCACTGATTCATCTGCTACAGGAGGGTGGAAGTGATAATCAGGAGGTTTCATTTCTGCATGTTTGATTTGATACCATGTGACCTCAAGTCCAGAAACAATATTGCTGTACTTCCTGATTGTATATCATTGTGTTACCACCTCTGGTGGATCTGTCCTGTCATTGGGATAGAACATTTACAGGGATGGTGATGGAGGCCTTTGGCTTTAAGGTGTGCTTTGGTCAGGCTGTTTTTTGGCTAATTTGTGGGGTCAGCTTTTAAAATTTGGCACAGGTCCCCAGATGTTTGAGAGGAGGACTTTGTTACATTTAATGAGAGAACATTCTGCTGTTGTTTCTGCTTCCTGTACTGACATTGGTGGCATCACCTTGTGTGAATGCAGATTCAAAATAATCCCTCAGAGTCTTCAACATTGCCGTTCTGCCTCCATGATGAATTCCCATTTGGTCCAAAGTTGTTTCCACCCTTCCTTTCATCATTATTTTTATTTAAAGTGTTTAGAAAAGCTGTGGTTGTCCCTTTTATATCACTTGCTATGCTTTCCTACTTCACTCTATTTTCCCCTCTCATTTGCTGTCTCAATTCCCCCTCATTTCCTGTCTCAAGCAATAACCTGCTCAGTGACACCCAGTTTTGGTTCCGCCAGGTCCACTCAGCTCCTGACCTTCTTACAGCCTTGGTTCCAACATGGACAAAAGAGCTGAATTCCAAAGGTGAGGTGAGAGTGACAGCCCTTGACATCAAAGCTGCATTCGACCAAGTGCGGCATCAAGGAGCCCTAGCAAAACTGGATATCGGGGGCAAAGTGTCTGGTGGTTGGAGTCATACCTGACACATAGGAAGATGATTGTGGTTGTTGGAGGTTAATTATCTCAGCTCCAGGACATCTCTGCAGGAGTTCCTCAGGGTAGTGTCCTCAGCCCAACCATCTTCAGCTGCTTCATCCATGACCTTCCCTCCATCATAAGGTCAGAATTGGGGATGTTCACCGATGATAGCGCAATGTTCAACACCAGATACTGAAGCAGTCCGTGTTCAAATGCAACAAGATCTGGCCGGTATCCAAGCTTGGGCTGACAAGTGGCAAGTGACATTTCTACCACACAAATGCTAGGCTATAACCATCACCAATAAGACAATCTAACCACTACTCCTTGACATTCAATGGTGTTACCATCATTGAATCCCCCACTATCAACATCCTGGTGGTTACTATTGACCAAAAACTCAACTGGACACACCACATAAACACAGTGGCTACAAGAGCAGGTCAGAAACTAGGAATACTGCGGTGAGCAACTCACCTCCTGACTCCTCAAAGCCTGTCCACCATCTATAGGGCACATGTCAGGAGGGTGATGGAATATTCCCCACCTGCCTGGATGAGTGCAGCCCCAGCAACACTGAAGAAGCTTGACACCATCCAGGACAAAGCAGCCCACTTGATTGACACCACATCCACAAGCATCCACTCTCTCCACACTGAAGCTCAATAGCAGCATGTGTACTGTCTACAAGATGCACTGCAGAAATTCACCAAAGATCCTCAGACAGCACCTTCCAAATCCAATACCACTTCCATCCAGAAGGACAAGGTCCTTTCCTTGACCTCTCTGTCTCCGTTTTGGTGAATAGACTGTCCATTTACAAAGTCGCTGACTCCCTTAGCTACTTTCACTACTACAGCTCTTCACACCCCATGTCCTGAAAGGACTCTATTCCATTCTCCCAGTCTCTTCACCTACAGTGCATATGTTCACATGATGCCACCTTTCAAAACAACGGTGCTGACATGGCTTGCTTTTTCCATAATCGTGGTTTCCCCCATCCAGTGTAGTTGACAGGGCACTCAACTGCATCTGACCTATCACCCCTGCTTCTGCCCTTGCCCCTTCCCATCACTCAACGGCGTGATTGGGTCCCCCTTGTCCTCACTTTACAGCCCACCAGCCTTGTCATTCAAAGGATCATTCTCTGCCATTCCTGACAAACCAGCAGAATGCTACCACCAAACACAGCTTCCCCTCAGTCCACCGTCTGCATTCCCTCCGGGACATCCTAGTTCATTCATCAGTGATTAACACTGCGACCCCTTCCCACTGCACCTTCCCATGTAACCATAGAAAGCGCAACCCTTGCCCCTTCATCTCCTCCTTGCTCACCATTTCAAGAGCCGAAACAGTCTTTCCGGATGAAGCAACATTTCACCTGTACCTCCTCGAATCTTGCGTATTGTATTCACTGCACCCAGTGTTGCCTAGTCTACATTGCAGAAACCAAACACAGACTGGGGGACTGCTTTGCAGAACACCTCTGGTCTGTGCACAAGCATGACCCTGACCTTCCTCAGCTGGTCTTTTTAACACAGCATCCTGCTTGCGTGCCCACTTGTCTGTCATTATCACGGTGCCAGCTGGAAGAACAACATCTCATCTTTAGACTAGGCACTTTACAGCCTTCTGGACTTAATATTGAGTTCAACGCCTTCAAATGGTGAACCAACTCCCATTCCTTCCTTTTTTAGCTTTACTTGTTACGTTCTCTGTCGCCATGTCCTCTTTCCTCGCCCTCCACCCCAGTGGGACTGTCTGTTCTTTCAAGTCTGCCAGTTAGAGACACCATTGTTCTGCCATTCTCACATTCTGATCACTTAACTATGAGCATCTTTTCTCCCCCACCACTCGACTGTCTACTGCTATCATTCCACCCACCCCATCACCCTCCCCCAACTATAGCATAAATGATGCCCCCTCAACACTTCACTTCAGCTCTGATGGAGAGTCATCTAGACTCGAAACGTTAGCTTGCTCTCTCTCTCCATGGATGCTGCCTGATTATTTTAATCTCTTTTGTCATCTTGGGAGCCCTGGCTTTGGATGTCTTTCCTCTGGCCTTCAGGAACTTGATAATCCTATTCTCAACCTATCTCCTCCTTGAGGGCTTCTTGGTATTGATTTACTGTTAGGCCTACCAATCATCATTTTCAGTCTAATGTGGGTTAGACCCTTTTGAGTTCACTGAAATTAGCCTGAAATAAAACAAGTTAAAATTAATTAAAATTAGTCAAAATTAGTTCTGCACTCTGAGGAAGGGTCACCGGACCAGAAGCGTTAACTCTGTTTTTTCCTTCACAGACGCTGCCAGACCTGCTGAGCTTTTCCAGCAACTTTATTTTTGTTCCAATATGTGTCTATTGATTCCCTTGGTTCTTGGTGGCTCCCTGGGTTAGGTAACTGGGTTTGGCTGTGATGCTTTCACAATTAAACAGTTTGCTAACGTTATTTGGTGAGGCTTATGCATTCATAATGTCCAAAGAATCTTGAATGAATCAATGTTATAAAATGATGAAAGAATAGGAAGAAAGAAGGGTGGTGAGTGACAAGTTCTGCCAACTATGGGACTTTTGGGCAGTCCTATTCCTAAACAGAGTGAAGATACCCTGACCCAAGCTCTAGGTATAAGACCAACTCCTGTTTCACAGGTGTTATACACCAATCAAAATTGACAAATTTGAGACAGATAAGGCTAAATTTTCTAGTGTAATAGAAAATACAGCTGTGGAGAATTATAGAATTTGATAGTTATATACTTGGTTTACAAATACAGGAGTTGAGTAAAACACCTTTTAATGCCTAACTTAAATAAGGCAAAGTGGAAATCAGGTTGTATCCTAATTCGAAGCAAACATTAAAATATTGTTTTATTTTAACAGCAACTGGATCAATGGATTCCTGTGTCATGATCTGGAATTTGAAACCACAGATGAGAGCCTATCGATTTGTCGGTCACAAAGATGCAGTCCTCTCAATTCAGTTCTCTCCCTCTGGTCATTTACTGGCTTCTGCATCTCGAGACAAAACAGTTCGCCTCTGGGTTCCCAGTGTGTAAGAACGTTATTTTTGTACTTGTGATGTAAGATGGGTCACGACTATGTTGATATCTGTTATTGCACTAGAATAGTGGATTTTAATTCAGCTTAATCTCCCTTATTGCATCTGTCGGTTTTTATCTTCTTGGTAGCAAACAGGAAAGGTTGTGACACTTAAATTTTTCTTGTGTCTCACTTTGTTTTTCTTAAGTGAAAATAATTTTTTTTCTAATTAACTTGTCAAAGCGCTCATAATTTTGAACATTTCTGATGTCTTTCAATTCTTCTTTGTTCTAATGGAACCATTTTCTTGAACATTTCCTTTTGACTTGAACTTTACATCATTGATAACTGATCATTGAATCTTTGCTACATCTTCTTCACAACCTTGATCTTGACATCTTAAAGGCAGTCAAATAGGTTGGTTATTTTAATTGTGGCCTAATGAATGATTTGTATAGATTTTGGCATCATCTTTGTTTTTGGACGCTATAAAATCCAGGGCCACATGTTTCCTTAAACCACTTTGAAACTTTGTCTTTCCACTTTGAGATTTATCTATTTGAATCTTTATGTATCACCTTGCTCTTAAAATCTTTACCATTTATTGTGTATATCTTTTCCTTACTTTACCAATATGCCTCATCTTGTACTTCCCTGAGAAATTTCAGATGATAATTGACTACTCAATCTACTGACTTGTCTTTCTGAAACTGCTTGCAGCTCTCTATAGTTGACCACATTCAAAATATCTATCTATTTGGCCTCCTGTCTCCATTCAGATGGGCCCCAACACTAACCACAAAATAACATTCATTAACTGCTGCTTTTTGAATAGGACAGGACACAAAACATACTGTTACACTCCCTTTATTTCAGCATGCCTCCCTAAGCTTTTTGTAAAGCCATACACACAATATTAATGGCATTTCAAGGTGCAAGTGCAGAGAAGGAGCGTGTACTCTGACCATTTTTGTAGTCAGTTAGTCAAAACTCTGTTGAGATGATTTATGAGAAGACCTTTAAAAAGTTTTGGAGTCAGAGGGGTTTAGGAGAGGGATTCCCATACACTACAACCTATGTGGCTGCTTGCTTTGCTGCCACAACTTGAATGGAGGAGGAAGTAAATTGACGTGAAAAAGACCGGAATGAAAAGATTGAAGCACAAAGTAATAAAGAAAAATTATGATCTACAAGTCAGAGTTCTGTCAGCTCTAGGATGCCAGTTCATTCATACACCATATGGCTGTGGATGCTGGTGATCTTGCTTATGAAGGAGAGAACATTTTATGTTGAAATGATGTATTAAGACTGGCTGATGATGTTCAGGAGGGAAATGGTTAAAGAAGGATGACATTGTTGTCAGGAACCAAATGAAGAATTTCATTCTCCGAAATTTCTTCGGCACTTAATACCTTCACATCCTCCCCTAAAGTGTGGAACAAAAACAGAAGTTTCTGGAAAAGCTCAATAGGTCTGGCAGCATCTGTGTATCTTTGTGTATCAAAGTTAACATTAAAAAGTTAAAAATCAGAATTAACGTTTCGTGTCCGGTGACCCTTCCTCAGAACCCCTAAAGTGTATCACCCATTTGTGGATGCAATTACTCCAGCTGAGGCTAAGCTCATGTTCTACAAGAATTAGGTTTATTGTCACATGTACCCACATGAGGGCAGTGAAAAGCTTACAAAGTCACCAGTTACGGTGCCATCTTAGGTACAAAGATATCTAGCTACAGGATGTAAGGAATAAATGAGAAAAATAGACAAATAAAAAGGTCAGCATTACGGTTCTTCAAGCAGACCATGCTGGGCCTTCAGTCTAGTCAGTGTCAAACTGAATTGAACTCAATAGCCCATGGCCCTCCGAGTTTCTGAGTCCAGGCTCTGGGTCTGCCGATGCCAGGAGTCCTCAATCTAGGCACCGCCGTTGTTGCTGATGATGATCCTCTGACACCACTCTGGCTTCCCCATGATGTTAGAGGATGAAAGAAAAGAAAAAAGAAAAAGATGGTAAAGGAGAGAGAGAGAGAGAAGGATGCGGTTGTCCTGGAGCATACGGGCTCAGAAGCCCTGGCACCCCCTACCATGCCGGTGCTGCCATCTCGAGGAATGGCATAACGTCCTTTTGTATTACAGAGTTATAGAATTATTATGGTGCAGAAGGAGGCCATTCAGTCCATTGTCTCTGCACTGCCTCTTCAGACAAGCATCCTTACCTACTGCCAATCTGCTGCCTTTTCCCCATATTCCTGCATACCATTTCTAGCCAAGTAATCGCCCATTGCCCTCTTCAATGCCTCAGTTGAACCTGTCTCTGCCACATTTCCAGTGCATTCATACCCTGACAATTTGCTGTGTGAAATTTAAAAAAAAATTTATGTCACTTTAAATCTATGCCCTCCCATTCTTGTTCCTTTTATGAATGGGAACAGCTTTTCCTTCTAGCCTGTTCGTGTTTTTGAAAACGTCTATCAAATCTCCATTCAGCTGCTTTCTCTCTGAGGGAGAACAGTTTTAACTTTTTCAGTTTATTCTTGTAGCTGAAGTGTCTCATTTGTAGAACCGTTCTTGTAAAAAAAAACTTCTACACTTTCTCCAATGCATTCTCATTTTTCCTATAATGTAGCATTCACTACTGTAACACAATACTGCAAGTGAGGTGTGATAAGTGTCTTGTACAAGTTCAACGTCACCCTCCCCCTTACCTCTTACACTCACTTCTTTTCCCCATTAATAAAGCTAGGGACATTGGAAGCTTTAACTGCTCTCTGTCTGTCCTGCAATCTTCAATGATCTGTGCACATATACACCCCTTTAGAATTGTACCCCCTATTGTCTCAGAGATAGGGCCTCCCTCGATCTCTTAATCTCCAATTGCCGTCGTAACATCAATCGCCTCAACCTCTCCCCCACAGAACGTGTAGCCCTCTGCTCCAACCCTAACCTCATTATAAAACCCGCGGACAAGGGAGCCGCAGTTGTGGTATGACGCACTGACCTCTACATCGCTGAGGCCAGGCGCCAAGTCTCTGACACCTCCTCCTACCGCCCCCTTGATCATGACCCCACCCCTGACCACCAAAACATCATCTCCCAGACCATCCATAACCTCATCACTTCAAGTGACCTCCCACCCACAGCCTCAAACCTCGTTGTTCCTCAACACCGCACCGCCCGTTTCTATCTCCTTCCCAAAATCCATAAACCCAACTGCCCTGGTCGACCCATTGTCTCTGCCTGCTCCTGCCCCATCGGACTTATCTCCACTTATCTCAACTCCACTTTCTCCCCCCAGTCCAGGAACCTCCCACCTACGTCCGTGACACCCCCCACGCCCTCCACCTCCTCCAAAACTTCTGATTCCCTGGCCCTCAACACCTCATCTTCACCATGGACGTCCAGCCCCTATATACTTGCATTCCCCATGCAGATGGCCTAAAAGCCCTCCGCTTCTTCCTCTCCCGCAGGCCCGACCAGTCCCCCTCCACCAGCACCCTTATCCGCCTAACCGAACTCGTCCTTACCCTTAACAACTTCTCCTTCAACTCCTCCCACTTCCTGCAGACAAAGAGGATGGCCATGGGTACCCGCTTGGGCCCAAGCTGTGCCTGCCTCTTCATAGGATATGTGGAACAGTCCCTCTTCCGCAGCTACACTGGTACTAACCCCCACCTCTTCCTCTGTTACATGGATGACTGTATCGGTGTCGCCTCACGCTCCCACGAGGAGCTCAAACAGTTCATCAACTTTACTAACACCTTCCACCCCAACCTTAAGTTCACCTGGACCATCTCTGATACCTCTCTCTCCTTCCTGGACCTCTCTGTCTCCATCTCTGGTAACTACCTGGAAACTGATATCTATTTCAAGCCCATCGACTCCCACAGCTACCCAGAATACACCTCCTCTCACCCACCTTCCTGCAAAAATGCCATCCCCTATTCCCAATTCCTTCGCCTCCGCTGCATCTGCTCCCGAGATGAGGCGTTCCACTCCCGAGATGAGGCGTTCCACTCCCGGACATCCCAAATGTCCTCGTTTTTCAAGGACCGCAACTTCCCCTCCACAGTGATCGAAAACGCCCTCGACCGCATCCCTTGCATTTCCTGCGCCTCAGCCCTCACACCCCTCCCTGCAATAACAACAAAGACAGAATTCCCCTCGTCCTCATGTATCACCCCATCACACTCCGGATTCAACGCATCATTCTCCGCCACTTCTGCTACCTGCAATCTGACTCCACTACCAAGGATATATTTCCCTCCCCACCCTTATCTGCCTTCTGGAGGGACCACTTTCTCTGCAACTCCCTCGTCCGCTCCACAGCCCCACCTTTCCCTGAAACTGCAGGAGGTACTACACCTGCCCCTACACCTCCCTCCTCACCTCCATCCCAGGCCCCAAGAAAACCTTCCACATTAAACAGATGTTCACCTGCACATCCGCTAATGTGGTATATTGTATCCGCTGTTCCCAATGTGGCCTCCTGTACATCGGGGAAACTAAGCAGACGGTTGGAGACCGCTTTGTGGAACACCTACGCTCGGTTCGTGACAAACGACAACACCTCCCAGTCGCGAACCACTACCCCGCCCACTCCTTGTACGACATGTCCATCCTGGGTCTCCTCCAGTGCCACAACGATGCCACCCGAAGGCTGGAGGAACAGCACCTCATATTCCACCTGGGAACCCTGCAGCCCAATGGTCTAAATGTGGACTTTACGAGCTTCAAACTCTCCCCATCCCCGACCTCATCCCAAGACGAGCACCCCCCTCATCCCCGTCTCCTTGACCTGTCCGTCTTTTCTCCCACCTATCCGCTCCTCCCACCTCACTGACCAACCCGCACCCCTACTTCCTACTTACGAGCTTCATCCCCCCCGTCCTTGACCTGTCCGTCTTCCCTCCCACCTACCCGCCCCCTCCCTCCTCACTGATCAACCCCCATCCCAACTCCCTACCTACACATCACCTTTACTGGCTTCATCCCCGCCTCCTTGAACTGTCCGTCT